ACTGTGGAGATGACCGTGGACTTCAGGAGAAACCCCCCTGCACTCCCCCCACTCACCATCATGGACAGCACTGTGACTGCAGTGGAGTCATTCAGGTTCCTGGGCACCACTATCTCTCAGGACCTGAAGTGGGACACTCACATTGACTCCATTGTGAAAAAGGCCCAGCAGAGGTTGTACTTCCTTCGTCAGCTGAAAAAGTTCAACCTGCCACAGGCACATATGACACAGTTTTACTCAGCTATTATTGAGTCGGTTCTGTGCTCCTCTGTAACTGTCTGGTTTGGGTCAGCCAGCAATTCAGATATAAGAAGACTGCAACGGACTGTTAGGACAGCAGAAAGAATCATTGGTGTGCACCTGCCCAGTCTTCAGGACTTGTACAACTCCAGAGTGAAGAAACGGGTAGGTAACATCATCACAGACCACTCTCACCCCGGACACAACCTGTTTGCGCTTCTCCCCTCAGGCAGATGCTACAGTGTTTGACGTAGATCTCTGCGCACTAGAACATCTAGGCATAAAAACTGTTTTCCCCCCTGCCATCTCCAGCTTAAACAGCTAACACAGGAATCATTACCTGCGTTCTGTAATTAATTTCCGTAATTCATTCTACATCCTTAATTATTGCCTCTTTCTCAAGTATTATGTAAATACATATGCATATCTCTTTATTTATACAGTTCTATATAGAGTAAATAATGCATAAATCTGTACATAAATCTACTGTTTCAGATTCATACACATTATTTGTTAAGTTTTACTATTTTAAAAGTTTTTTTTCTGTTCTCATGTCAGATGTGTATGTATGTACCAGGAGCACCTTAAAAAAAACCCACAACAAATTCCTTGTGTGTTTGCGCACACCTGGCGAATAAAGCTAATTCTGATTCTGACCAGTTACAAAATATTATTACTTGCCTATAAGGCCCTTAATGGGTTAGCTCCTGCATACCTAATGGCGCTTTTCCACTGCATGGTACGGTACGGCTCCGTACGGTTCACTTTTGGGGGGTTTTCCACTGGGTACAGTACCTGGTACTTATTTTAGTACCACTTCGGTTGGGGTTCCAAGTGAACCGTACCGTTACCAAAACGTGACGTGAAAACTCTGCTGATCACGGATTGGCCGGAGAGAATCGTCACTACCTGCGTCACTGAACTTGCGACAGAAGGAGTGGGCGAGGCACGCGAGAGCAACGAGCGCTTCTAAACAGACGAAGCGCAATCGAATAGAAGCACAATAATTCTGAGTAAAATATACATTTTGCCAAAAAAATTGTTTTTGGACATTAAATGTGTCTTTTGTAGAATTTTAAACCTACATATAAAGTGTATTTTTATGAGAGCAGTAACTGTAAGGGGACTATTGTAATGGGTAAATCAAATGTAAGCTAATACAGTACTAATTACTATAAGCTCAAATGAGTTAATGTGTGTTTATTATAGCAGTTAAAATGTAGTCATTTTCTTTTATTATTTATTTTCATTTTTAATTCAGTGATTTTAAATTCAAATTTAGTTATTTTAATGCTTTAAAAACCAATTTTAGATTGTAATATTCTAATATTCTGCAAACTATAAAAGGTACAGCTGTCATAAAACCAGAGAGAAAGGCTGCATGGCTAGAAAAAGGTCAAATAATAGTATGTAATAATAATAGTAATAGTATAAAGTGAGACAGTGGTAATATCATTATGTTCCTGTCGGTCAGTAGAGGAGCTGAGCTTAGCCTGACAGTTAGCCTGCTTTAGACCAGGTTAGTTTCCCAGCATAAGTTGCCACAGTGACTAAGCTTGATCTAGGCCTATGTTAAATTTGCTTTATGGAACCAAATCATTTGACAATGAGTCAGACTAACTGAAATAAGCCTGGCTTATTTGGTTAACTTGTTTTATGAAACAGGCCTCAAGGCATGAAAAGTTATCATATTTTCTCCATTGCATCGTATTGCATCAAATCGCATTGTGTTGAATCGGATGGAATCGAAATCGGATCGCACTGCATCGTAACAGGGCTGAATCGTATCGCATCGCTAGCTGCTTCATAAGTATCTTTAATGTATCGTATCATTGGCTATGCATCGAGATGCGTATCGTATCGACCCAAGTCATGAGATGCACATCCCTATCACTCTCACTCTCACTCTCGCTCACACTCTCTCTCACTCTCACACTGAGCAGGTTCTGGTTCTTGCCTGTTTGATTGAGTGTGTGTGTGTGTGTGTGAGAGTGAGTGTGTGTGTGCATGCGTGCGTGAGAGAGTGTGTGTGTGCATGCGTGCGTGAGAGAGTGTGTGTGTGTGAGAGGGGTACCTGCAGCACTCTGTGTGAGAGGTCCATCAGCTTGCGTTTGTACTGCGTGATCTTGGCGGCGGTCGTGGCCTGATTCCTCTGCAGTTCGCTGATGTCGTTAGAGATGATCTGAAACACGGAGACAGAGCCGGTCACATGACAGCGTCAGAGAGAACCGCCGGGCTCCGAGCGTCTCACTCACATCCACTCTGGTCTGGTGCTGTTTGGTCATCTGATCCTGGATCTTCAGTCTGCGCAGCAGCTCTTTGAAGCCCACCATGGGCACCGGAATCAACCTGAGCAGAAAATCACAGCTGGTGAGCTCAGATCACACGAGCGTCTGACGAGCGATTAATGAAGACGCACTTCTCTGGGTCTGGATTGTCCACTTTGGCCTGTTCCCAGATGATGGGATCCACACCTGCACACAAACACAGTGTCAGCGGCGCTCCTCAGCGATATCGTGCGAGCAAGTGAACACACACGTACCTGCGGGCGTCTGTAATAACACACACGTACCTGCGGGCGGGTTCTGCAGCAGCTGCTTGAGCTGCGCCGGGGTCAGTGCGGTGCGACTGACCGCCATGATCACACCCAGCTGTTGCAGCGCAGACTTCACGTTCATCTGCTCCATGTAGCTGTAGAGCGTAGACGCCGGGACTCGCTTCGACGTGCCGCTAGGAGAGCGCTCCACCAGATAAATGATCATCTCCGCTCTGCACAAACACAAAAGGATATCAAGAGTCTGATCACGACCGGAGCCATTATAACACACAGCAGCGGCTCTCAGACGCTTTCACACAGAAACATTTCAAGCTCACAGTTAGAATTAAATCACATGCTTGTGGTTGAGTTTTATTATAGAGCTGGAAAGCGTTCGGTGAAGGAGCCGCTCGTGCAGAACGAGTCAGGCACTGGTGTTTTGTTTAATGACTGAGTTTGAAGAAAGGCTGGAGGCAGAGATGCGTCTCACTGGTCATCGGGCAGCGCTCGCACTCCCTCCACGTTGACCGAAAGAGTCGGATTTCCTCCCAGAACCTTGTGCATCAATTCGACCAGCTGCTGCTGCTGAGAGCGAACGTCAGCTTCCTTCTTATTGAGAGCAAGAACCACTAAACCATCCTCATCCTTCACATCAGGAACACAGCTGTAGCCCACCGCCTGAGAGAGAGAGAGATGGACAGAGAGAGAGAGCGAGAGAGACAGACAGACAGAGAGAGAGAGGAGAGTGAGAGAGAGAGAGCGAGAGAGAGAGACAGACAGAGAGAGAGAGAGAGAGAGAGAGAGAGACAGACGAACAGAGAGAGAGAGAGAGATGGAGAGAGAGAGAGAGAGAGAGAGAATTCAATTGCTATATTATTCCAAATTACACTGTTGTATATGTTCTCTTTTCCTATGCATGCTTTGGTAATGCAAAATGTGCTTTTTGTCATGCCAATAAAGCTAATTGAATTGAGAGAGAGAGAGAGAGAGACACAACAAAACACATTTGGAATCATCAATATATTAAAGAGGTCATATGATGCTGCTAAAAAGAACATTATTTTGTGTATTTGGTGTAATGAAATGTGTTTAT